TTAAAAAAAAAAAAAAAAAAAAGTCACTTGTAAGAAGTAATGAAGGGGGGAAAATGAGCAAACTAATGTTGCATAATAAAAATAGTAAAACTCTTTTCTCTGAAAATGGTATTTTCTAGAAGAGGCAAAAATAGAACACAGGAGAAGGATGTGGGCAGACTGCTTCCGTAGAGATGTACAGCCTTGGAAACCCTATGGGGTTGCTATGAGTCAGAATAGACTTGACGGCAGTGGGTACTCCTCACTTATCAATATGGTTACGTTCCAAAGACTAGGTCACTATGCGAAAATTGGCGTTATGTGAAAATGGAGGATGACCACATCAGATCACAAAGTGGAGAATGACTACATCATTATATAAGCACCAAATTACATATTACATAACTGTCAAATTGTATCATTACATAACTGCCAAATCACTGAGAATCATGGCCCAGCCAAGCTGACACCTAACCTTAACCATCACAGCCAGTGTTACTCTTGCCTCAGCATTCGTTACTGCCAGATGTATGTTGTTAATGAGCAAAACAGTCGAATTGCACTTTTTTTACTGTTGTCATAAATGTAAAATATCGTATAATGAGATAAGTTGATAAGCGAGGAGTGGGTGCAATAGGAACTACGGAAGATGTGTGTTTACTTTTTCAAATTGTTTAAAAACACTACATTGATAATACTCTAAAGGAATCTCCTTTACCCAGACAAAATAAATTTGGTCTTAAAGAAAACATCCCTTTGCAGTTGCTGGTTAACTAAATCAGAAAAGAGACTGAAAGAAAACAACAAACTCCTTCATGCCAGACTGAGACAATGAGAAACACTGTAGGAAAGGAAACTATCAATAATGATAGCTATGAACTTTATTATTTCTCTAAAATTAGGAAGTATAGTATATTATAGATCATGGGGCCAATGAACAAGGACCAAATACAACAGGAAAGTAAAGTCAAGGTTTAAAGTGGCAGAAAAACCTTGCCAAGTAGACTGATCTTCTACCTCTTTTTATGTGATTTTATACTTTATCCCAAATCTGGACTAATAGGAATAATTATAAAACGTTATTAACTTTTCATTTTATCCGCTCTTTTATATTCTCCTGTAGTAGGATAGAGTCTCTGGTAGAAACAGGAACAAAGACCTCTGTATTCTCCCTATGCTTTGATTTAAAAATATTTCAAATAAACCCCTTAAAGATGATTGCACATAGCAAAGAAAACTGATGGGGATAAGGGTAGGGGAATTAGGACTAGAAAAGGAAGCCACAGCCACACAAGAAGGATGCATTAATGAGAAGTCTGTGAAGAACACTTTAGGAAGAAGCTAGCTTTATTCAATGGGAAGCTGGCATCATAACACTGCCATTTTACATGTCAACTGAAACTAAAGCATCTTGCAATTCATTACCAGCTTTAAACCTAAGTGAAATAAAGATAAGCCAAAGTGTTACTGGATGACATTTAACTGAGTCATCTATCAACACAATAAAGAAAAAACTCACAGTCTATTAAAAAAAAAGTGCTAATGAAATACTTACTTCGAACTTCATATTGATTATACTCGACTGTCTTCAGCAGAGGATGAGAAAAACAGTGCCACGGTAGCTGTTTCCTAACCTGAGGCAGCACATAATGGGTCACAAAACCCACAAAGCCCACCAATGCATATAACACATACTTGAGAGCAGGCTAAAAGAAAAAAAAAAGTTGAGAAAATTAGGAGTGATTTTGAGACCCAGAGGAAAATGAATAATTTGTCAGTTCAATTTTCTTTTGATGATAGAGACTAGCAAAGTCAATTCTGGAATCTAAGAACTAAACCTTTGTCTACAGTTAACATTTCAATAGTATGCAGGGTTTTTTAAAAAATTAAACCAGTCATGAATGAAAGTAATTTTTCATGTATTAAACCAAAACCCAAACACCCTGCTATCAAGTTGATTCTGACTCATAGCAACCCTACAGGACACAGAAGAACTGCCCCGTAGGGTTTCCAAGGCTGTAAATCTTTACAGAAGCAAACTACCACATCTTTCTCCCACAGAGTGGCAGAAGGGTTCAAATCACTGACTTTCTGGTTAGCAGCTGAGCGTCTACCCACCGCACCACCAGGGCTCCTGTTCAAGTATTACAGATATTTAAAAATGTGTTAACTACTTTCTTTGGTGTCTCACATTACTGTATAATGACGGAGTGGCTTGAGACATATCACTTGTTAGTCCAAGAATGTTCTATGTGAGTTTCAGAGCAATGTATTAAATTGTTTTAAACTAGTAGTGATAAAAGGACATGAGTTAAGTAAAACTGTAAGTCTGAGAGAGGAGCAGAATGAGATGAGAAAAAAAGTGTTCTATTTTTGTGCCTTATTAGAAGAGAGTTCTCATATATGACTAAATTTCAAAGAGGAAACCAAGTACTTCAAATATTCAAATTAAAGTCATGTATTTAGAAACTGTGGAACCTCTTAGACATGAGCACTGAAGACCTCACCGGACCTTACTCAGCTGTTGAGTGTTCAGGAATTAAACAGTTACAATTGGAAAAGAAGAAAAACGGGCAAATATGTTAAATGAAATTAAATAATATAACCTAACTCCTAGCCAAACGGAGTTAACAGGGACCAGATTTACCCTCCCATATAAAAGAGCCGAAACAGAAAAAAACTATATGAACCAATAATTTTCAAGACACTAGACACAGGGAGGAGCCCTGGTGGTGTAGTGGTTAAGAGCTTGGCTGCTCACCAAAAGGTTGACAGTTTGAATCTACCAGCCACTCCTTGGAAACCCTATGGGGCAGTTCTACTCTGTCCTGTAGGGTTGCTATGAGTTGGAACTGACTTGACCGCACATAACAACAGATACTGGGAACAAACAGTGAAACTTGAGAGAAAGAAACAAATGAGATGAGCCTTAGCACTGCCCCCTTTACTGCCTTGAGAGTTTCTAGGTTACAGCACAGGAGGAAGAACCAGGAGAAGCCCAGCACTTCCTGAGTTAAGGAGATGGAACTGAGAGTCTGGGGAGAACAAGGAAGCTAGAGTTCACTAGACAGCGTGCCACAGAGGAGAGAACTACACAGAGAGAGAACTTTGGAGATCTGCAGAGGCTCCTCCTCAAGTGTTCAGGGGAATACTGATCACAGCATGTGTGTGAGGAAACCACACGAGTCCAGAAAAAGGACCACTTGAAAGGATTAGTAGGAAGACTAGTATCCAGCACTCACACAGGGCCAGGAATAGTGCCTATTCCCACCAGCCAAGACTGGAAAAGTGTAACATTCACACAGCACTGGCAGAGTACTGAAAAGGGGGAACATTAGACAGCCCTACACTAACACTGGTCCCACCTAAGAAATCTTAAAAACAAGACCTGAGAGGATCAAACTGTCCCAAGTAACTTAACTGTGTCCCAGAACAAAATTCAAGAACATTCTACAAATACAAAAATATCCAGCACCCAACAAGGTAAAATTTATAACACATCGCATCTAATCCAAATTATCAGGGATGCAAAGAATCAGAAAAATACAATTTATAATGAGGGGAAAAAAAATTAATCGAAAGCCCGTAAGTGACATAGACTTTAGAGTTAGTAGATAAAGACACTAAGAATTGTTACAACTGAATTCTCTATGTCCAAAAAGTTAAGCAGAGGGATTGAAGATAATTGAAAAAAAGAGTTAAATTGAATTTCTGAAGATGAAAGTTGTAAGATCTGAGATGAAAAATATACTAGATGGGATTAACAGCAGATAATACATTACAGAAAAGATTAGTTAACTTCAAGACACAGCAACGGAAACTATTCAAAATTAAACATGAAAAAAAAAATTAAAAAGAGGGAAAAGAGCATCAATGAGCTGGGGGACCACTTGAAGAGGCCTAAGATACAAGATACATATAACTGAAGTCCCTAAAGTGGGGTGGGAGTGAGGACAGATAAAACATTTGAAGTTAACAATGGCCAAAATTTTCCAAATTTGATGAAAACTGTAAACCCATGGATTCAGAAAGCTCAATAAACCCCAAGCACAAAACCATGAAGAAAACTACACCAATGAACATCATAATCAAATTACTCAAAATCAGTAATAAAGAGAAAATCTTAAAAGCAACAGAGAAAAAAGACAAGTTACTGACAGAGGAATAAAGACAAAAACGGCAGATTTGGAAGCAATGCAAGTGAGAAGACAGCGGTGCAACACCTTTAAAGTACTGAAGAAAAAACTGTCATCCTAGAATTCTGTACCCAGTGAAATATCTTTTAAAACCAAAAGTGAAACAAAGGGTTTTCTAGAAATACAGAGGCTGAAACAATTTGCAGACTCTCACTACAAGAATCAATGCGTCAAATCTATTCTTGAAGCTTGCTGAAAGTGAAGATGACTTGAAGCACTTACTGATGAAGATCAAAGACCACAGCCTTCAGTGTGGATTACACCTCGACACAAAGAAAACAGAAATCCTCACAACTGGACCAATAAGCAACATCATGATAAACGGAGAAAAGATTCAAGTTGTCAAGGATTTCATTTTACTCGGATCCACAGTCAACACCCATAGAAGCAGCAGGCAAGAAATCAAAAGACGCATTGCATTGGGCAAATCTGCTGCAAAAGACCTCTTTAAAGTGTTGAAAAGCAAAGATGTCACCTTGAAGACTAAGGTGCGCCTGACCCAAGCCATGATATTTTCAATCGCATCATATGCATACGAAAGCTGGACGATGAATAAGAAAGACGGAAGAAGAACTGACGCCTTTGAATTGTGGTGTTGGCAAAGAACATCGAAAATACCATGGACTGCCAAAAGAACAAACAAATCTGTCTTGGGAGAAGTACAACCAGAATGCTCCTTAGAAGGAAGGATGGCGAGACTACGTCTTACATACTTTGGACATGTTGCCAGGAGGGATCAGTCCCTGGAGAAGGACATCATGCTTGGTAAAGCACAGGGTCAGTGAAAAAGAGGAAGACCCTGAACGAGACGGACTGACACACTGGCTGCAACAATGGGCTCAAGCTCAAACATAACAACGACCGTGTGCATGGTGCAGGACCAGGCAGTGTTTCGTTCTGTGGTGCAGAGGGTGGCTATGAGTTGGAACCGACCTGACAGCACCTAACAACAACAACACTACAAGAAAAGTTACAAGAAGTCTTTTAGGTTGAAGAGAAATGACACCATATGCAAATATGGATCTACACAACGGAACGAAGAGCACTGGAAATGGTAATTACCTGGCCTACAGGTGAGAGTTACTGTACTCAAGAAATAACACATAAGGAGCCTCACTTACAGCTGGACCTAATTCAGACAATATTTTAGACTTCCAGTTGTACCGGGAGTTTATTAATGTTATTTTTCACGTGGGAAGAATGTGAATCATTGGGTGTCAGAGGACAGACTGTAGTAGTCAGTCTCCAAATTGGTCCCCAGTGATCTCCGCCTCCTGGTATTTACACCCATTTGTATTTCCCTCCCACATCTGTCCAGGGTTGGTCTGTGTAACCAAGAGAATACTGAAGAGGAGGTAGTATGTCACTTCAGATAACAGGTTATTAGAAATTACGGCTTCTATATTGGGCTTTCTCTCTCTAGATCACTAGTTCTGGGGAAAACCAGCTGCCATTTCATGAGGACACTCAGGCAGCCTATGGTGAGGATCACATGGAGAATAACTGAGGTCTCTGGCTAATAATCAGAAAAAACCGAGGCCTACAGACAACCAGCCCCAGGTGATGGCAGCATCACAGAATCATCCAGTTAAGCCACTCCCAGATTCATGGCCCAAAAAACTATGAGAAAATAAATGTTTGCTGTTAAAATCAAACAAATAAAGTCATATATTTCAACACTATGAAAAAACATTACAATCAAACCAGAAATTAATCCAAACAAATAAAATTATTCTCCCCAAATTAAAAGAACAAAATGATTCCTTACCTGTAATACTGTGAATACTGTGCTTACATGAATAGCAAAATACAGCACACCAATAACAATGCATACTACTAGGTCAGACTGTAGACGTTCACTCTGTGGAACAGTACAGAATTATTAAGCAATTATATAAATTAATTAAGTAAATACATAAATCAAAAAAAAAATTATTTTATTCCCAACTGGTAAAGTTTAAGAAAAAAATTTTCACTGACATTCTTTAGCACTTCTAGAAATTTCTTACACACAACGAATCTTATTTTCTTCCTCAGTTTCCTCATATTTTGGTTTGACACTAATGCCAAGGAAATTAAAAAACTTAGTTTCCTATGTTGAGTAACAGATCGCAACAAAGTCTTTCAAATCTCCTTCCACTGGTTTGTAAGTTTTACTTTTACATATGAGAAAAGGAAATGAAGTACTTAAATTGCTGTTATGATTTATAGAGGCATATTCCTTTGGATAACAAAGTTATGTTTTCATAGGACATGTGCATGCATATGTCATATTTTACTTACTAGGTTTTGGTTCTCTTAACAGTTGTAGTAAAAAAAATCAGAAACTTCTTGATATCTCTGGTCATCAACTGACACGTTAATTTTTGCTTATAAACTAGACTCAGAATATCTTACTATACTTAACATTAAATATCCTTTGTTAACATGAAAACTAAAATCAGAAAAAAAAAAGTTTAAATTACGCCATTGGGTAGTTTTGTATTTCTAAAGTTTCCTGAAGAATATATGACAATCTCAAGTCCACTGAAGGTAAATATTATCTCTAATTCAAGGCCTATATGAATTCAGTCAATCACAAGTGGAAATAATCTAAAATAATAATTTAGAAAAAGAAATATTCTATGTATTGTTCTATAGGATTCATTTTTTATATAATTACTAATAAAATACAGGTAGCATGGTAATTCACTAAATTAAAAATTAAAACATTACTGCATTTACTTAAGTACACTAAGTTACTGCAGGTTATTTTTCACTCCTTCAGCAGGAAAAACAAACCCACATGCACACACAGCTTTTCAGCATTCCCTTGAGAAACAGACTAAAACACTAGCAGATGACTTATAACAACATAGTTTTTATCACCAAGCACAATAAAATCAATCCGATTTGTTAATATTTATCTTTCAGGTCTTAGTTTAAATTGAATAAAACATTCTATGAACAATGGAATTATTTACTTAATTTTATCTGACCTAAAAGTTTGGCATACTGTTTTATGTAGAAACCAAGTTCGAGAGATGAGCATTTCTTACATGTTAAAATTTAAAATAAAGGCAACTAAGAACATACAACTAATCCAACTCAATGTAACTAATACTTCCCTCAATTACTTAAGACCATCAAAAGGTGTTCATTATATAACATGATGAGCTATCTAAAATTTAAATATTTTAGGTGATTTTAAAAAGCTAAAACTTACAACAGAATTTCTAAGTTTTTCAGGCAGTGGATCTTTTACTTCAGACAGGGGGTCTTCTGGATTTTTCTCTTCTGTTTTTGGAAAAATCTTGGATTGTACCAAAGAGCTTTACATTTAAAAAAAAAAGAGCAAAAAATTAATAAAAAATACATTTATAATGTGAATACCAGTATATAAAATAGCAAATAAAATTCATGGTAGAAAAATCAAATGATCCAATTATATTTAATCATTAGCAAATGACATATTCTAAAAGGTTAAGATGCCATAAGCCAGCATATAATGAAAATATTCCTATTAAAACATAGTTTTAATATTTAGGATGGGAAAAGCTGATAAATACCCTCACTAATATGGTCAGAATCACCCAAAGTCAATATATTTTGAAACCTAATATAGAATTAGGCTAACAGCACTTTGGAAAGGCATTGGGAGGAGAAATACTGGAAGTTAAGTTTGAAAGAAATGCCAACTCATTTAAATCTCTTTAATTTAATAACATAATTGATTTCACTTACAAAAGTACAGATGGATCACTACTTTGTCGGCTGAGATGATAGGATATCGCCACTAACAAACCACAAAAAATGGAGAAAAGTACTGGAATATGCTGGCCATCCCAAGAATCCTGTTGGAAAAAAAAACAATTTAACACAGCCTGTTTCTATTCCATAATCCATCAAATAATCCTCTTATTTCTGTATTTTGGAGAAAGATAATTAATTCAACAAAAACCATTTTAGTCATTTTTTTAAATTACATTTTATTTCATATAAACTGACATTTATTACTTTCTGATGAGCTAGAATCTAGTTGCTAGATCATCTTCAGACTTCTTTTGGTGCTATAGCTCTACGCGCACACTAGGAATAATACATTTGCTTCGATGCATGTTGCTGTCAACTTCTTTCAGATTTTTAGTGCTATTAAGCTTAAGTAAACCATGGCTCCCTTTTGAAGACTAAATTAACTTGGTATAGTAAATTCTGGTTATATAAAATAATGGAGTAGGAAAACGTATTACATAATACATGAGGCAAAGAAAATGTTCACATTTGATCTAGTACTTTCTTGATGCCTTTGCTCAAGATCCACAGTTTACAACCATTATATCCTCCAGAGCACTGAGCAGTAACTAAGGCATTCAGTAAGTGCTTTCTGAATGAATGAACTGCATATTCCCAGAAATAAATTATCTAAAGGCTAACTTCCAAGGCGAACCAAACATGTGGATATGCCATGTCTGCTCTGCTCACTATATTATATCTGGAGTCTCTATTAGCAGGGTACATGGCATACAGTGGGTAATAATGATAACAGAAATATCTGACATTGCTTAATTGCGTCCTGTATGGCAGACACCATTCTAATCCTTCATCTTCCTCAGGGGATTTGGGAATGGAGAATGGCAGATGGCAGGGGTGGGAGCCATATTGTAGTACTATACATATTGTTTCTGCTTTATTATGTAATTGTCCAAATTTTAGCAATCTCTTAAAAACATGAAAACTTCTGGAAAGTTACACATATTAATAGGATGCAAGTAAAGTGGTCTTAAAGGAAAAATCTTAGCTTTTAACGAGCTAAGAACTCCATTAAAAAGTTCAAGGAAAAACAAAAGGGTAAATACAAGAGCAGAAGAAAACAGGAAATAATAGCCATAGAAATCTCTATTAGTGAATAAATAAAAAGAAAAAAAATTAAACCATCCCAAAGTTATGCAATAAGGTCCCCTAATGACTCTAACAGTCCCAAAACAACTACTGTTATCAATTTCTTGTGTATTCTTCCATAATTATTCTATGCATATACAAGCCTTCCTGTGTACCTAAAAAAAAAAAGTACAATGGAAACACCTTTTTTTCTTTTGCATATTCTCCCATTCCTTTTTTAAACTAATAATATATGTTGTAGATCATTCCATAGCAGCACATGAAAATCTCTTTCATTCTTTTTTTTGCATGTGGTTGTATAGCATTCCATTGTAATTTAATTATTCCATAATTAATCTAACCATTCACAAATGATAGATATAAGGTCATTTCCAGCTTTTCACAATTACAAACAGTATTATAATGAAATCCTTGTATATAATCTTTGTTCATATGCACAAATATCTATGTAGATGCATTACATTTATAATGGTGGGGTATTTAAAACTAAAATTGTCTAATGTTAATGCCACGCCCACGAAAGAAGGAAGGAAATTTTATCTTCTCGTCTGTCTTAGGACATAGGATTCTAGCTGGCAATTTTACAACCGCTGCTGTTCTGCTACGTAATTATAGTTAAATGTTGTTCATTGCCGTTGAGTCAATTCTGACTCATGGTCACCCTGTATGTGTAGAGTAGAACTGCTCTGTAGAATTTTCAAGGCTGTGACTTTTTGGAAGCAGAGTGCTAGGCCTGTCTTCTGAGTTTTCTCTGGGTGGGTCTGAACTGCCAACTTTTCTGCTAGTGGTTGAGCGCTTAACTGTCTGCACCACCCAGGGACTCCTAATAGTTAAATAGGCCTTTGTAAATTAGGGTAGAAAATTTACTACACTTGTTAACTCTATGATTGTAATTTCCAAATAATGACTCACTTTCCAAAACATCACCCAAAACACAGATCTAAAACTTATGCTAGAATGGTTTATAGGTGGTGCATCTGAGAGAAGCTGGATTTGGATCTTATTCCCTCCAGTTCCTTCCTGGGCTTAGCTCCAATTATCCCACTTTCTACTATTACATCCTCCCCACTCCCCAACCCTGCTCTCCTTTTAAATGCAACCAAGTCTCACATTGTTTGAAAAAAACAAAAACCAGAAAACATCCTCTATCATGTGTACAAGTTTCCCAGCTAAATTCTAGAAAGAGCAGAATATACTTCCTTAATATCTGTTCACACTTAAACTCGTATTAATTGGGCTTCCTCTAAAATTACAAAGAAGTTGCTTTTGTTAAAGTCATCAATATCCTATTAACTGCCAAATTCAGTAAAAACTTTTTTTAAGACTCTGTTTCCTCTAAGTTTCCTTTGTGGGATATCTCGTTCCTTTATTGAACACTTAAATATTGCGATTTCCCACGGTTCTATCCTCATCCATTTTCTCTTGTCAATCCACATTAGCAATCTTTTTCTTATACTTTTGTTGACAACTTCTTAATGTATTCATTACTACCTCAAGTATCTCTACCCTATAGTCAACCGTCTACTATGCAACTCTGGATACCCCAGAAATATCAACAAATAAACATGTCCAAATCTAAACAATCATCTTCCTCACCAAACTCGCCAGCACTCCAAGGTTTCCCATCTTGTACACTAGTATCACTATCCCACCAGCTACTCAAGGCAGACCCTACCCAGAAATCATTCTAGACCCTATTCTGGCTTTTTTCTCTTAGTCCAGATAATTTCCAAACATATTCACTGAATATAGTTCAGTCCTTCATAATTTCAAGACTGCAGTACAACAGCCTCCATGTGTCCGATCCCTCTTGTTCATATTTCAATCTTCTTCACACTCGGGACCAAGCAGTCTTTCTAACATGCAACTCTGACAATTTCCCTGCCCTACCGAAATTACTCTGATAGTCTTCCACCTCCACCCCATCACCTTCAGGATAAGAAAATCTTTCAGATTCTAGTCTTTACTGAAAGTCATCTTTCCTTACGTGCTTAAACTTCCAGAAATTCCTAATTACTTGCTGTTTCCCCTACACAATATATTTTTTTTTATAACTCCATGGCTTTTTATCCTTTGTTCCATCTAGCCAATTACTATTTGTCCTTCAAAATCTGGATCAAATGCCACTCCCCTGGAAAATCATCTTGAATCCCTTTAGGCTGACTACAGTAGTCTCGTTTTGTATATCCACAGGACTCTGTTTTCACAGCCTTCATTACTCTGTATTGAAAGTGTTGGTTAACTTATTAATCATAGCTAAACTATAAGCTCCTTAAGGGCAGGGAATTTCTTTTACCATAGTACCCGGCATGCAGTAAGTATGCCATAAATGTTGCTAAATACACAAGGCAAGCAAGGGTGCTGTGAGTCACTTTTCATAGTCATTTAAACCCCACCATTCTCTGATCATCTTACATTAATCATAAAACAACAAAACAGAAGTATAGTTGAAGGGCTGAAAATTTTTAAATTTTTATGTTTTCAATTTGTTGACAATCTTTTAAAAAAGGAGCTAATAAGGCTCACCCAGATCTTTCCAACCCAATAATGACATTTAATTTCAGTCATTAATTTTTACTAGAATGCCTCTTAAATTGCAGTCCTTCAACTTGTTCTTCAAAGTTTTAAGAAAGTTTGATATGAACAGTACTTACTATATATATTCTTAACTAAAAATCTAAAATTAATTTCATTTTCTGTGGTTACCATGACTGCCCCTATCCTAGACCAGCCTAGTTTTTAATAACTTGTTTCTAATATTAGCCTATGATTACTGCTTGGAAAAAGATTTCCTTTTAATAATGATTACCTATTAAATGGCTTTTGCTTTCAAATTCAAAGTAAATGAGAATAATGTTCAACATATGAAGGCCATGGAAATTAAAGCTAAAGTGATACAAGCAAAAAATATCATTAATCAACTTAAAACAATCTGCATGTAGAAATACAGCCTTAAGGATAAAACAAGCTACAATTTATTGCTCACCTTTAAAGCACCATAACACAATCCATACAATAAGGCTACTGCCACAATGCTACAGATAAAACTGTAAAGTGCTGCAAGTAGGCTTGTTGTGGCTAGACAGTAAAGGAAAAAAGAAATTGTTTTATAAACAACGATGTAAAAACATTTTAAAAGTTCATTGAAATGCATTTAAGATGTTATAGTGTAGGCTATGATTAAATACTCGTTCTGATTTAAAAAATTCAGTTACTTCATATGTGCTTTTAAAAGATTTTGATATGACAATGGTTTGCTACCCTCAATCTTTGATATAGGATAAAATGTATTTACCCTGGAAGCAATAAAAATATACGCATGGAAGAAAAAATAGTACCTGTATTATGCTTCAGGAAATGTCATCTTATATTAACAAAAAATGTGGGGAAATGAAGCTTGCTGAGGCCTAAAAAAGACCTGGAGATGCATTAAGTATTCATGGAAAGATATTAGTCTACGTAAACAGACTTGCGTTGCTCATAGAAATAAATTGTGTTCCCTTCTGTTAATTAATTCTTACGAAAAAGTATTAAAAGTAGAAAAAGTAACTAGATCTGACCAATCACAGGCAACAACAACAACAAAAATAAGATCCAATGGGATTATCAGTAATAGGGAATAAGGAGATGGCTAAAATAGCTAGCTTTTATTTTTAAAATATGGATAATAGATTCTCATCAACGGTAATTTTACATAAAAAACCCATTGCTAATTGTAGAAGGCAAGGTCATGGAAGCTCCATAGACACATCCAAACTCCCTGAGTGACCAAATTACTGGACTGAGGGCTGTGGGGACCATGGTCTCAGGAACATCTAGCTCAACTGGCATAATATACTTTATAAAGAAAATGTTCTACATTCTACTTTGGTGAGTAGTGTCTGGGGTCTTAAAAGCCTGTGAGCAGTCATCTAAGATACTCTACTGGTCCCACCTCTTCGGGAGCAAGGGAGAATCAAGAAAACTAAAGATACAAAGGAAAGATTAGTCCAAAGGACTAACGGACCACAACTACCACAGCCTCCAACAGACTGAGTCCAACACAACTAGATGTTGCCCAACTACCATCACTAACTGCTCTGACAGGGATCACAATAGAGGGTCCTGGACAGAGCTGGAGAAAAATGCAGAACAAAATCCTAACTCACAAAAAAAGACCAGACTTACTGGCCTAACAGAGACTGGAGAAACCCCACAAGTATGGTCCCAATCTACTTTTAGCTCAGTAATGAAGTCACTCCCAAGGTTCACCCTTCAGCCAAAGATTAGACAGGCCCATAAAACAAAACAAGACTAAAGGGGCACACCAGCCCAGGACAAGAACTAAAGGTAGGAAGGGACAGGAAAGCTGGTAATAGGGAATCCAAGGTCCAAAAACGGGAGTGCTGACATGTAGTGGGGTTGTTAACCAATGTAATAAAACAATATGTGTACTGTTCAATGAGAAGTTGTTTGTTCTGTAAACCTTCATCTGAAGTACAATTAAAATAAAACCCTACTGCTGTCAAGTCAATTTTGACTCATAGCAACCCTATAGGATAGAGCAGAACTGCCCCGTCGGGTTTCCAAGCCTGTAAATCTTTATGGAAGCAGACTGCGACATCTTTCTCCAGCGGAGCAGCTGGTACCTTCGAATAGTGATTATAAAAGAAATCTATAGCAAAAAAATTTCTTCAGGAGATATTAAAGAACTAAAACTTTGTACAAGGTTATAAATTATAGTATGACAAAGTCTACTATTATAAATTACCTACACTAAGCCCTTTCTGAAGTATTTAGATTAATATAGCATCTATAATAGTCCGGAAACTGTCTTCTACCCATTAAGCTATGCTGATTGCCAACCCTGTCTTAATTCACATCCCTTCAAGAATTTTTCAAAACACTAAAAATGCTCTAGATACACAGCAACACAGAAAAGGCTTAGTTTCTACTTAAAATTTAAGCTACAATATCTTACCAGCAAGAGATGATTTCAATGCATATACTTGGAAGATAAATAAGGATGGAAAATATGAAGTGCAAAGAGAAATGGACTACAAAATTATAGTGATATCTCTCCCTTTTACACTTCTCTCTAGTTGTACACTAATCTTTCAGGAAAATTTTAAATGGTTAAACTAAATAATGATGTATTTTAACCGTGATGGCAATGGGTATGTAACAACTGAAGGATGACAAAGAGGAATGGTAAATATAAATGAGAACTAGCAAGTAGTTGGAAAACTGCTCATAGGGTTATTTTCAAGTTCTGCAAACCATTATCTATTCCATAGTAATACTGGTATGGTCTTATTTATTTTTAAAATAAAAGATCCTTATGTGATAGGAGAACAGATTTTTTAGGTTTATCAACTGATATTCACATGATCTTTGAAAACAGCTACTTTTTAATATCTTATTTAGTAAGATGGTTTTGGTATTCCCATTCTAAAGATAAAATAAAGCTCTAAAACCAACATACCAAGTGCACACACCAGTTCAAAATCCAAATGTAATGCCACGTGTCAGAGTTTAATCTGTGTGTGACAGGTGATCTTTTATAAGTATCTGATAAGTCTATATAGGTTCCATGTAAACTCACCATAACTTTTAGTTTTAGACCATGATATTTTATTACTTGTTACACACTGACTCCAATTAAAGCTTATTCCTGGATCTTTCACTAGGTAGCAGACAACTACTTTTTCGTGTGTACAAATTAATTTCTGCTCAGTCGTCAAGTATTAAGTAGGTACCTTTTTTTAAAAATTTCAATACTAAAATGAAACTGGAAAAGTATTTCAATGTTCAGTTTACTATTTCATGATCTGTAAAAGTAACACTGTAATCTGTAATTTTTAAAAAGAAGTACTCACCATTACCACCGAATATATGAATATCCAATTGCTCACAAAGGTACATTACAAATGTATTCACCTGAGGCAGGAGACCAATGAAAAATACTATTGGGAAACAGAGTGTAAACACTATAGAAGGAAAGAAAAGTATATTAAAAATATTCTACCAATCCTTTTGTTCATTTAAAGATTATAAAATAAACGATAAAGCGGAATTCAAAATTAATGTAAACTACTAAGTAACTTTTATGAAGATTTCACTTTTAATTATTTCTTTTTATATAACTGCTTTGGTATTAAACAAAATCTTTTCAATTATAAATAACACTTTTAAAATTATTTCAATCATTTTCACATAATAGGAATTTGAGATATAGAATACAGAAGGAAATCTCCCATTTCATCTGCTTCAAAAACAAAATAATACTATAATATTTGTTCATCATTAGCTTTTCTCATTCTAATAGCCCTATAGTTTTGTTCCTCACTGAAAGGATTACAAATAACAAAATAAGTTTATTAAAACTATTACTGTCTATATAATCAATCTACTTATTAGTGAACTGTTTGTAATCAAATAAATTAAGATCTGAGTTACTTTAAAGACGACTCACCTATAACTAAATCCCTGGCTGATATAAGTACCAGTGGGTTGGTGAAAGTTATTCCATACAATTTGAACTTGGTTGTAGTAATGTTTCTGCTACCATAATCCAAGAGCCAAATAAGACCACAACATAAACAGAAATAAACTGGTCTACTGTAGGCAATGATACGATTATGACCCTGAAAATGATATTTAAAAAAAAGTCAGTTTAGTTAATTTTAAGAGTCACAACAGCTACTAAGATCTTTGATGGCTTATATTTTAAGGATTTCAAAAGGCTTCCATATGGAAGCTACGTTTTAACTGCTGGAGAAGTGAGTTACAAACATGGAAAGGAGGAAGGACAGAATGAACTCTGATACTGTATTGAATTGGAAGTATCAGCATGAACATATTATTTTTAATATAGATACAGATATACAAATAGATATATATGTGTGTGTGCAATGTGTATGCAAGTGTATATATAGATACGTATGTATATTTCCTATCTTTATCTACTATGAGCACCTAGAAGCAATGACACTCTAATAATAACGATTACTAGTGTCCAGATCTTAGTGAAGAAATACTATTGTTCACTAAAAAGAACTACGGCTCTGTAGAGAAATGGCTGATTTGGGGCCAGATGAACCTAGAACATCCTTTTGTATAAAAACATAAGGAAGTACTGAAAAAACGATAGGAATATGTCGAAGGGACATAGAAGGTAGCTTGATGGGGCTCCCAGTGGCCAAATTAGGGACAATTTGAGCATCAAAATATATAATGATAGGGACAGATTACAGTCCATTTAATAAAGTAAGAATCCATGAATTTACACAGATACAAATAATACTGTACAGACAAAAGGGAAAGCTCTTCCTTACAGTAAAAAGTCAACTAGTAAGTGTAGAAGGAATGTTGGAGTTAAAAAAAAAAAAAAATCACCATTCAGCAACTATCAAAATCTAAACTGAGTCAGGCAAAATACATCAACAGATACTAAACAAGTAGATGAAAGTTTGCAGAGTAACAGGCTCTATGTATAATCTCAAAGTATTTCCCTACAAGATACTTATTAACTACAAAGAGAAAAATGGCATTATAATAGAGTAGCAGTTTTCAAGGGGTTGGCAGGGGGTGGATTTTGCCCTTGGGGAATATCTGGCAATGTCTGGAGACATTTTTGGTTGCCACAACTAGGGTGGCAGTGCTACTGGCATCTGCTGGGTAGAGGCCAGACATGATGCTAAAATAAACATCCTACAATGCACAGCACAGCCCTCCCCACCTCAACAAAGAATTATCCAGCCCAAAATGTCAGTAGTGCAAAGGGTGATAAGCGCTGCAGGAGGGAAACCTGGCAGACATCACTCTAACCCAAAAAGCAAAGTAAACATCACCAGTTATAGGATAAATCAACATCTTGTGCTTCCTGATATGATGCACTGAGAAAAATACATCATTTTTGTACTATTCTTACAAAAACACATGGCCCATATCCAGTCAAGAAGAAACATCAGACAAAGTCAGATTGAGGAATGGTCTACAAAATAACAGGCCTGTATGCAGCAAAAATGTCAATATCATGAAAGACAAACATTGAGGAATTAAACCAGTTGCCATCAAGTCAATTCTGGCTCATAGCAATCGCATATGTGTCAGAGTAGAACTGTGTTCTGTAGGGTTTTCAATGGCTAATTTTTTGAAAGTAGACTGCCAGGCCTTTCTTCCAAGATGCCTCTAAATGGACTCTAGCAGCCCAATGTGTTAACCATTTGCACCACCCAGGGACTCCACTGAGGCATTGCTCCAGATTAAAAGAGACTGAGAGACCAAATGTATGATCAAGGAATTTCAAATGCCAATTAAGACAATGGGCAAAATTTGAATAAGATCTGTAGATTAGATTATAGTATTGTATCAATGTTAAAGTCCTGATTCTGATTAAATATATTACAGTAATGTAAAGGACCACCAATAGCCTGTCAGTTTGTTGTACTGTGGTGGCTTGTGTGTTGCTATGATGCTAGAAGCCATGCCAACAATATGTGAAATACTAGCAGGGCCACCCATGGTGAACAGGTTTCAGGGGAGCCTCTGGACTAAGAAAGACTAGAAAGAAAGGTCTGATAATCGTCTTCCAAAAAGCAGCTACTGAAAACCCTATGGATCACAACAGAATATTATCTGATGCAGTGCCAGAAGATGGGTCCCCTAGGTTGGTGGGCACTCAAAATACACAGTGGCTACAACAATGGACTCAAGCAGACCAACGACCATGAAGATGGTACAGGACTGGGCAATGTTTCATTCTGTTGTACATGACTTAATGGCAAACACAACAACAATGTAAAGGAATTTACATTATTTCTAGGAAACATATACTGAGGTGTTTAGAGGTAAAGAGGTGTTTAGAGGTAAAGGGATATCATGCCTGCAACTCCCTTTCAAACAGTTCAGAAAAGCATGTATATACGGTGGGGGGTGGGGGAGGGCATGTTCAGAGAGAGACAGAAAGGGATTAAGCAAATATGGTAAAATGTTAACATAGGGAATCTGGGTGAAAGGTATCACGAATTCTTTGCACCACCACTGCAACTTTTCTACAATCAGAAATTATGTCAAAATAAAAAGTTAAAAGAAAAAGCAATGTTTCCATATATTATTACCCTTCAAAAACATTCTTACAAAATAATACATGTAATCAGTCAAAAGAAAATTGTTTGCCTCTTTGTTTTGTTTTGCTCCTCTATTCCCATTATTAAGTACTCTAGTGCATGAATAAAAAACATAATGATATTCAAGATGGGAAAAAACATCAATACAAACTGTTCTTTGAGTCTATGTTCTTAAACTACTTAAATGAGAATGGCCTCTGGTCTTTCTACTAAATACATAACTCTTAAGTTAGGTCTAAAACTGGACCATACTTTCACAACAAATACATTTTTCCTACTTCAAAATTCTGTTTGAATACTTATTCATGATTATTGAAAATTCATTAAATGAAAATTATCAAACAGCCATGAGTTTATATGACTCCTGTTTATCTGATAACTTCCTACTTAAACAAGCTGCCAAACAATAAATTATTATGCTCATTTTCAACTAAGATTTAGAGTCCATGAGTACAATGCCATTTTATTTCATGTAATAAATCACCTATTTTCTAGTAGTGTCAAATCTTAGATGAGAAAATAATAACATAAATCTTAGTTCAATCTGACATATGCCAAAAAGGAAAAAAAAAAAAAAAAAAGGCTTTGATGGCTGTTAAGGAGTTGTGAGTTACACAAGTATTAGAGTAACTTACATGTCTGGGAGAAGAAGAATCTGGTTGAACACTCTAAGAGTAAAACAGAAAGACAGATTATACTACCGAAGTCCTGCTAATTTTATAAACAACTTTCAAAATGCCTCAAATGATTTCAAGCAAATATACCATGATCAAGAAACTACCTACATTAATTCTACTCCAAAGATTAAACATCAACTCCATATACCAGTGTCACTGTGACATTAAAAACATCTAAACCTTCCCTGACTCTTAAACTTATTATGGTTAATAATTTGCATCTAGCTTCATGTTTCTGAAATGGCATATGGTGTAGCACCGGCAATAAGATCTATGTTATGGCTTGGCTTCTTACTACACATAAATAAGTATATTTCATGGAGAATCCTTTCTCTCGCAGTATCACTCCATTCAAGAAACACAGAATAACACAGCTTATAAGACTGTAAGAATTCTAGTTCTGTCTGCAAATTGCAACCTCATAAAACAATCCAATGGTACATGTATTAAATATATTATCTGCATTTTTATATCAAAATGATGAAATTATAAGCTACATCTTTGTAAGAGATTTTATTAATTTTCCATAAAAATTTCAGAACGTACTATGCAGATACTTACCAAATCATGACTTTTCTCTCAAGTTCAAACTCATTTCCAATGGCATACCAAACAATTTCACTACAATAGTCTATCGACCACCCTCCAACTTTACAACGGATCAATCTCATCGAGTCTGGCATGTGGCCCTTGGCTGGATTTGAGACCAGGTTAAACTCTTTCAACTCCAACACAAATCCTCTAAAAGCTTCTGTTCCTGCCTTTCCTATTTCTATTCATGACATTACTATTCTTCTAGCCAACTAGGTTGAAAAATCTCAGTCATCTTTTCCTTTTCCATATCTAACCATATTAACCTGAAAGAAGTAGATAAAAATCAATGGGATAAGGGATACTGAAACCAGGGAATAAATTTAAATAGTTTAAGGCAATAAAGGGATGGAATAAGCTGTTTGCAATGAAAGGCAAGAACAGAGGCCAGGAATTTTAACACAGAATTTCCAAATTTAATCAAAGGGACTTGGTTATTTGTCATTAGGGAGCAAGGAGGAAGGAGCAGATGTGCTAAGATTTTGAGTCAGTACATCATTGTCAAAAGCAAAGCAACTGGGAAAGGAAAACACTTTATCAGAAGGTGATGGTGTGCGATTTAAAAAATGTAATCCATTGTCTGTTGGATTTATAGGACTAAAGCTTGCAAGAGAGATGAAAACATTGAGCTGTAAATCTGGACATCATTCATATATAGGGGCAACAAATAAAGGAATAAAAGAGGATGACTTCATTGGCAGGGAACTGCAAACAGAGAAGAGGACCAAATAAAGCTCTAGAAAATTCCATAAATTAAGAAGTGGTCAAGAGGACAAAGGCATCAACAAAGGAAAATAGTGTTATCTGAAAAGCAGGAGAATCATCAGGGTAGTACAAAGTCACAGACTAGCCATGAGAATATAAAAATGGGAGACAGGATTAACAGGTATTAAATAATACAGCGTTCATAAAGAATGAAGACTAAGAAAAGTGTACTAGATTTGACAATTTAGAGATTATCAGCAATCACAAAGTACTGGAATTTCAGTATTTCAATGAGGAAAGATGATATAGATGGGTCATGAAGAAATGGAGCAGTTAACCTAGGTGGCTTATTTCAGATGTCTAGCTATAAATGAGGAGACAAAAAAGACGAAAGGATAGCTGATGTTATGAACAAAAGTAAGCTAACAGTTTTCAGAATGGGGGAGGGCTCTGCACATTAGCATATTTAGGCAAATGCAAAGCAAGAGTATTTACTGATTAAAAACAAAAAGGAAGGAAACTGTCCACAATGACAGAAATTGAAAAAACTAGGGTAACTGATTTTGCGTGGATGGTGAAGAATTTGGTTTTACATGAGTTGATGAGGTGTTTGATTTTCTCATTTTTTGAAAGCTTAAAATTGACAGCATTTAGAATTTCAGAGACACTGTTAAAACAATAACAAAGGGCCATCAACCTTCTGTTTTCAATGTCCCAAAAGAATATATATATACTACGTTTTGGCATTATTATACCTACCAATGACAGATTGTAATAAATTTCACCTACAGAATACAAGACGCGACGAATGGGACTGGGAGAGTTACTGTTGATAAAAAGAAATTTCAAGAATGCATATTCTTATTTTCTACAAATGCCCAAATATTTTCTTTTAATACAAAGAAAGAATACTTAGGAAGCTCCATTTACATATCATTAATTTTTTTTTAAAGTTTACTGCCCCCAATTTGTTCCCTACATATCCGAGGAAAATAAGTCTAAAAATTAATATCTTGCTATATAATTCAGTGAATGATATGAAACCTTCTAACTTTTAACACAAGTTATCATTCCCTAGCATGAAAAGAAGAGAGACGCTGGTACCTTGAGTAGTGAGTACTGGCAGCTGGCTATCACCAGGCAGAACTGGAAGACCCAGATATCTCTGAAAAAGCCTTGTATGAGAAGAATAGATCCCAAAAAAGCCACAAGAATAGCCAGAATGACAGCTAACCCATTTTCCAGGATCTCACGATTTCTGCAGACAAAAAAAGTTGATGAATAGAGTAAGTATATCATAAATACAAGAAATTAATCAGAGTGGGTTTAAAAGGAAAGATATCAATATGAAGCTCATAATATGATTGCTGATCTGACTTTTTGGTACTAGATATGAATAAGTTTTCTTTCTTTTTTTTTTTTAAGTTGTCAAACCCAATTGCTTTGTTGTTCTTTTTTTCTTTTTATTTATTTTTATTGTGGTAAAAATATATATAACAAAGTATCTGTCAATTCAACAATTCTTACAAGTATAATTCAATAACATTGATTATGTTCATCATGTTATACAACTATTACAACCATTCTTTTCCAAATCATTTGACCACCCTTAACAGAAGCTAAGTGTCCTCTAAGAAAAGACTTGCCCCCTTCACCTCCCACCCAACTCTGGTAATCACTAATAAACTTTGGTCTCATTTGCCTATTTCATATAAGTGGGATCATATAATATTTGCCCTTCTGTGACTGACACATTTCACTCGGCATAATGCTTTTAAGGTTCATCCATACTACAGCATGTATTGCTGTTATGTGTCGCTGAGTCGATTCTGACTAACAGAGATCTTACAGGACAGAGGAGAACTGTGCCATAGGGTTTCCTATGCTGTTAATTTTTATGGGAGCAGATCGCCAGGTTTTTTTTCCCCACGGAGCTGGTGGTGGGTTTGAACTGCCAACCTTTCAGTTAGCAGCCAAGCGTTAACTTCATTCCTCTTCATGGCTGAGTAATATTTTAAATAAGGTTTTATCACACTTAAAAAAGAAAATAGCTTCATGGGGAAACAACACAAATTGTTATATACAAATAAAGCATGCCACACTGGATTATGAAGCTTGAATTAAAATAAATGTGATATAGTTTTCATTTATATTAAAAAATTTTCACCTTTTTAACATATGCTTTTCTGTCAAATTTGTTGCAAAGTAATCAACCAACTTGGATGACATATCAACTAGCTATACAAAAAGCCAAGTTTAAAAAACAAAACCTCAAAATAATTTTAGAAAATTAAATTTAAAACATTTAGTATTTTTTATTCTGATACCAAGTGGTTTTGTTTCTCCCGTTTGCCAGTTATCTGAAGTAACTCAGAAAATTCACTTAACTAGAATTACTTAAGTACAGGCTCTACATATCCTTGAGCATGATGGCAGTTACAATGACTATTAATTCTGCCTTCTGTCAAAATTGCTAAGACAATTTCATTAAACTGACGCTTATGTAAAAGAAATACAATACTCAAGATACTACATATAACACTGGGGATGATTTTTTATGTAACATATATGTTAAGACATATAAAAAAATAAGTATGTCTCATTATTTCTTGGGCAAATTTTATTCACAAAATGTTAAACAAATACTTATAAAAGCTGTTCTTAAAGAATATTTAATGACATGGAAAAATGTTCAGCGTGTTTGCTATACAAAGCAGGATATCAAACTGCATGTATATTGAAAAATGCACACATATACATTAAAAGAGATAATATACAAAAATAATAAAAATAGTAATAGTTTCCTCTGGGTGAAGGAATTATGGTTGGCCTCTTTCTGCCTTCAAATATTTCTACATAATATTTAAATTTTCTTAAAGAGTAATTACTTTCATACTCACAATTTTTTAAATTAATTTATTTTTTATTATCCAACGCTATATTTATAATCATCAATTGGACATAAAAAATTAACAAACAATCTCCATACTATTTTATTTAATAGTTCTACTAGGTTAAAACAAGTTCAATGGTGTTTCTGAAGCAATAAATTATCGCGATTTCCTTTTGTTCTTATATAGCAGTTACAGAATTTCAGATTTGCCAAATCTAATGGTTACTTTTCAATCTTTGTCCTGCCCTGCTAAACTGCATACTAATGTCAAACTCCTTTTTTTCACTGAAAATGTACTTTCCTTTGGCTTTTTTTAAGTTTTTAATTTTGATGAATCCAATTTATCCATTTGTTCTTTTATAAATCTTCTTTTTTGTATCATATCTAAGAAATTTTGCCTAACGTAACGTCACAAAAATTTTCTATGTTATTCCTTGAACTTTTAAAGTTTTACACGCATCTCCACAATCCATTTTGAGTTCATTTTTGCAGCATGGTACAAGATATGGATCCAAGTTCATTTTTATTGCATATGGAAAACCAATTATTTCAGCATTATTTGTTGAAAATACATCCTTCTCCACTTCAACGATTAGGGAAATTATTTTAATGTCATCTGAACTTAGAGTTTTCTTTGCAGAGGTTTTTAACTACAACTTCAATTTATTTAATAGATATAGGCCTATTCAGGTTACATATTTCTTCTAGAATGAGCTTGATAATTATGTTTCTTTTGAGTAATTTGTCCATTTCATTTGTTCTTTGTCAAATTTATTTGCAAATGGGTGATCATATATCCTTATTATCCTATTAATACCTGTAGAATTTGTAGTGATGTCACATCTCACATTCCTGATATTGGTAATTTGTGTCTGTTCTTTTTTTCCCCCATTCGGCCTGGCTAAAGGCTTGTCAGTTTAACTGATCTCAAACAATTACCTTTTGGTTTGTTTGGATCTCTCTATTGTTTTCCTGTTTCTTCACTGGTTTCCATTTTGTTCTTTTTTTCTTCTGCTTACTTTGAGTTTAATTTGCTTTCATTTCTTTTTCTAGTTTCTTAACCATCGCGTGTCTATCAGTTTGTCATACTGTGGTGGCTTGCATGTTGCTGTGATACTAGAAGCTATGCCACTGATATTTAAAATACTGGCAGGGTTATCCATGGTGGACAGGTTTCAGTGATGCTTCCAGACTAAGACAGACTAGGAAGAAAGACCTGGTGGTCTACTTCTCAAAAATGAGCCAGTGAAAATCTTATGAAGAGTGGCGGGACACTGTCTGATACAGCACTCAAAGATGAGCCTCTCAGGTTGGAAGGCACTCAAAGTATGATTGGGGAAGAGTTGTCTCCTCAAAGTAGAGTCAACCTTAATGACATGGATGGAGTAAAGGTTTGGGGACCTTCATTTGCTTATGTGGCATGACTTAAAATGAGAAAAAACTGCTGCAAACATCCATTAATAATTGGAACATGGAATGGACAAAGGATGAATCTAGAAAAACTGGAAGTTGTTGAAAATAAAATGGAATACATAAAGATCGATATCCTAGGCATTAGTGAGCTGAAATGGACTGGCACTGGCCACTGTGAATCAGACAATCACACAGCCTACTGTGTTGGGAATGACAAATTGAAGAGGAATGGCATGGTGTTCATCATCAAAAAGAACATTTCAAGATCTATCCTGAAGCACAATGCTATCAGTAACAGCATAATATCCATACGCCTTCTACTTCTGTCAGCCTTTGTTTCATGTATTTTGAAATTGTTATTAGCTACATTTGGGATTATTCTGTCCTGTTGATTAATTGACCCCCTTTATCTTTATGAAAGAAAGTTCTCCATCCCTGGTCTTAGTCATCTAGTGCTGCTCTAACAGACACAGCACAAGTGGATGGCTTTAACAAAGAGAAATTTATTTTCTCTTAGTCTAGTAGGCTAGAAGTCCAAATTCAGGGTGTTAGCTGCAGGGGAAGGCTTTCTCTGTCGGCTCTGGAGAAAGGTCCTCGTCATCATCAGTCTTCCCCCGGACTAGGAGATTCTCTGTGCAGGAACCTCGGGTCTAAAGGACATGCTCTGCTCCCGGTGCTTCTTTCTTGGTGGTATGAGGTCCCCAACTCTCCGCTTGCTTCCCTTTCATCTCTTGTAAGATAAAAGGTGGTGTGGGCCACACCCCAGGGAAACTCCCTTTACACTGGATCAGGGATGTGACTTTAGTAAGGGTGTTACAACCCCACCCTAATCTTCTTTAACGTAAAATTACAATAAAAAAATAGAGGACAACCACACAATACAGGGAATCATGGTTGATATACACATTTTTGGGGGGACATAATTCAATCCATGACACCTGGTAAAATTCTTTGCTCTGAAATCTACTTTGTCTGATATTAATACAGCCAGCCACCCAGCTTTCTTTTTATTAGTGTTAGCATAGAACATCTTTCTCCATCCTTTTACTTTTAACCTCTTTCTGTCTTTTACTTAAAGTGCACTTCTCGTAGGTAGCATATAGCTGGGTTTTGCTTTTTTATCCAGTCTGACAATTTCTGACTATTGTCTTGTCATTTGTTTTCTATCTGTCCCATCTGTTCTTTGATTTCTTTTTCTGCGTTCTTTTATATTAATACTTTTTATGAATCTATTTTATCTTATTGGCTCATTAGCTATAACTCTTTTCTTATTTTAGTGGTTACTTTAGGGTTTATAGTATACATCTTGTCATAGTCTATCTTCAAGAGATATTATACCACTTCACATATAAGAACCTTACAGTAGTGCATTTTTATTTCTCCACTCCTGGTTTTTATGCTATTAGTGTCATGAATTTTACTTTTAGATATGTTGCAAACCCCACAATACTTTCTTATTACTTCTGTTTAAACTATCAATTATCACTTACAGAGATTTAATTAATAAAAAAATCCTGTATTTATCCATGTAGTTACTTACCATTTCCAGTGATCTTTGTTCCTTTGAATAGATCTATATTCCCACTGGGTTTATCTTTTTTTTCTGCCTGAAAGACATCTTTTAACATTTTTTGTAGAGTGGGACTGTGGGTGATAAATTTTTTAATTTTTCCTAAATCTGAAAAGGTCTGTATTTCACCTCAGTTTTTCAAAGATATTTTTCAAATACCTTTTGGAAGAATTCTAGGTTGACAGTTTTCTTTTTCTTGTAATTCTTTAAAGATGCTGCTCCACCGTCTTCTTGATCGCATGATTTCCAATTAAAAAAAATCTGATGTCTTCCTCATCCTTGATTCTCTGTAAAAACACATCTTCTTCTCTGGTAGCTTTTAAGATTTTCTCACTGGTTTTGAGTAATTATAATCTGCCTTGGTGTAGTTTTCTTCATATTTCTTGTGCTTGGGATTCACTGAGCTTCTTGGATGTGTGCATTTATAGTTTTCATCAAATTTGGAAAGTTTTCTGCTACTATTTTTTCAAAATTGTTTTTGTCCCACAGCTCAGTTCTTTCGTTTTCTTTGTATTCTCTTTTCATTGGGGAGTGAGAGGAGGATTCTTCTTTTTCTGTTTCATTTTGGAGAGTTTCTACTGACATGCCTTCAAATTCACTTTTCTTCTGCAATGTCTAATCTGCCATTTATTCCATCCAGTGTGATTTTTCATCGCATACATTATAGTTTTCATATGTAGAAGCATGATTTTGAGCTTTCATTATAAATCCCATGTCTCTATTTAACTTTTTTAACAGATGGAATAGTTATAACTATTTTAATGTCCTTGTCTGCTAATTCTAATATATGTGTCAGTTATAGGTTAGTTCTGATTGATTTATTATTTTCCTTATTATAGGCTATATTTTCCTGCCTCTTTGCAAGCCAGTCTTTGACTGGCTGCCAGATACTGTGAATTTTACCTTGGTGGGTGCTAAGTATTTCTGGACTCCTGTAAATCTTATGGTCCCTGGATGGTGCAAATGGTTAATGGACTCAGCTGCTTAACCAAAAGGCTGGAGGTTTGAGTCCACCCAGAGGCACCTTAGAAGCCCTGGTGGCGCAACGGCTAAGAGCTCAGGCTGCTAACCAAAAGGTCAGCAGTTCGAATCCACCAGATGCTCCTTGGAAACCCTATGGAGAAGTTCTACTCCGTCCTATGGGGTCTCTGTGAGTCATAATTGACTCAACAGCAACGTGTTTGGTTTTTGGCTTAGACGCACCTTGAAAGAAAGTCCTGGCAAGCTACCTGTAAAAAAATCAGCCACTGAAAACCCTATGAAGCACAGTTCTACTCTCACACACCTGGGTTCATCATGAGTCGGAATCAACTTAACAGCAGCTGGTTTTATAAATCTTATGGAGTTTTGTTAAGCTACTTGGAAGCAGTTTGGTCCTTTCAGATCTTGCTTTTATGACTTGTTATATGGGTTTGGAGCAGTGCTCATTCTAGGGCTAATTATACCCCATATCTGAGGCAAGATCTTCCTGACCACATAATGTATCATAAAATATGAATTACGAGTTTTTCCACTCTGGCTGTAAGAACAGGCACTATTCTTGGCCCTGTGTGAGTGCCAGGAACTATTCCTCCATCCCTTTCAGATGCTTCTTTCACTGGCCCCAGGCAGTTTCCTCATATGCATGTGCTGGATACTCAAGGAGACCCTCTGCAAAATCTCCAGAGTTTTCTCTCTGAGCAGCTCTATCCTCTCTGATACGCTGTTCTATGAACTGTAGCTGCCTTGGTCTCCCTGGACTCTTATCTCCACCTCCTCAACTCAAAAAGTTGCTGGGAGGTAAAATGAAGAAAACTAAAGATACAAGGGAATAATTAGTCCAAAGAACTAATGGACCACAACTATCACCTCCTCTACCAGACTGAGTCCAGTACAACTAGATGGTGTCTGGCTACCACTACTGACTGCTCTGACAGGGATGATAACAGAGGGTCCTGGACAGAGCTAGAGAAAAATGTAGAACAAAACTCTAACTTACAAAAAAAAAGACCAGACTTACTTGCCTGACAGAGACTGGAGAAATCCCGAGAGTATGGCCCCTGGACACCCTTTTAGCTCAGTAATGAAGTCGCTCCTGAGGTTCACCCTTCAGCCAAAGATTAGACAGGCCCATAAAACAAAACAAGACTAAAGGGGCACGCCAGCTCAAGGGCAAGGACTAGAAAGCAGGAGGGGACAGGAAAGCTGGTAACAGGGAACCCAACGTTGAGAAAGGAGAGCGTTGACATGTTGTGGCATTGTTAACCCATGTTACAAAACAATATGTGTACTAACCGTTTAATGAGAAGCTAGTTTGTTCTGTAAACCTTCATCTAAAGTACAATTAAAAAAAAAAAAACCCAAAAATAAAAAAGAAGTTTCTGGGCTCTACCTCAGTTCCCCCTCCCTGTGTTGCAGCCTAGAAACCCTCTTAAGGCAATAAGCTGGGGAAACTGTAGGGCTCATATCACTTGTTTCCCACCTCTCAGGGATCACTGTTCTTTGTTGCCTTATGTTCAGGGTCTTAAAAACTTTGGTTTCATATATTCTGTCTGTTTTCAGTTATTTCACACAGTAGCGTAAATCCAGTCTTTGTTAGGCCATGTTGATCAGAAGCGGCAACTGGTCATCAAGACTGTAACTGACTAATGTTGTTTACCATTAAGACAGTAGTGCTAAGAAATAGGAAAACAGAAGTTTCTTCTTATGCCTTTTATGTTTAAGACCATATTTATTATCCATAAGATCTATGTGACATATATATGTATAAAATAAAAGACCTATATTACTACCTATAAGATCATTAACACCTCATATTTTCCAGCCTTTAAATATAGTTGCATGAGGCTTATTGACAATAAAAAAGGAATTCTTTGTAAAGACAGGATAAAAGTGCTACAAAAAAAGGTTTCAATGGATTTAAAAGAGTCAGTGTTTAGAAGCCCTTATTTCCTTAAATTTTATCTTAAGGGGACAAGAACAGAAAACACTTTCCAACATGGCAACCAGGTAAAAACCTCAATGGGTAATTAGGGACACATCAACTTAAAATAAAATCTTTACATATCTATAACATCACATTATATTCTCACCTATCAAACAGGGCCAAAAGTGTGAGTCTGTCAAAGTTAATGCCAATCCATAGTTGGGGCAGGATCCAAAAACGATAATAGTGTTTAACCTTTTGGGCAGCTTCCTCTGTTGGACCATAAGTAGCTGCCAAGTCAGGGCTTAGATCAATGTCTTGTTGCTCCAACAAATCTGTGTCGATGGCCAATAATCTATTCAGTCGAATCTGTGGAAGAGAAAGCTAAAAGAAAGTCAACACAGAAAGGCTTAAAATATCTTTAACGAAGTCATGATTCAAGGGTTACTCAATCATCTTGCAGATTGTCTAAGCCCTTTAATTCTCTATTCCAGACCACACTTTGTGTATATTTTCTGATCATCAGAAACTCCAGAAGGTAACAATGGGAAGTAAACTAAAACAAGACAAACTAAACAACACTCTTTCAGAAAAGTTTTATTAGGAAAAGAGTTTGAAGTTTTAAGATTTTATGAACTGTGTAGCTAGTGAATCATTAGTGGCTTCTTTTCTCCCCATCACATTATGGTTTTTCTCATTAAGCTATGTACCTCATTATCAGTGTCAAATCTGAGGTCCTCTACATTGGATTCAATGTCTTCAGCTCTCATTTCTTCTTACAGTCTCTTAACACTGTTACTGTTTCCACGCCCTCCCCCCTTTTTGTTCTGGCAGGCTGCTCATCAACAGCTATAAAGAAAATTACTACATTTCATTTCTTTCAGATTTAATTCATTCATTCACCAATTTCTTCTTTTCTCTGGAAGCTTCAAAAGTTTGCCATATCTGGCCCAGCATTAGGCAGCATTTTGCTATTTAAAGGCGCCCATACCATTTAATGGAGCCCTGGTGGTATAGTGGCTAAGAGCTACAGCTGCTAAATGAAAGGTCTACAGTTTGAATCCACCAGCTGCTCCTTGGAAGCCCTATGGAACAGTTCTACTCTGTCCTATAGGGTCCCTAAGAGTCAGAATCGACTCGAAGGCAGTGGGTTTGTCTTTTTGGTTTTATACTATTTAATAGTATAAAACAATAAAATAATCATCCTCCCATTTTTACTTCCCTATGGAGTTTCCAGGAATATACTGCAGTAAAAAAGGAGGGACATTCTTTACTCTTCAATCTCATACTTATTTTGTATAGTCAAGAATTTTGCTTCTGATACATAGTCATTTCTCTAAGCACTGACAATACTTCCCAAAACACATTTTCTTAACCATTATGCCAAGGTTTCTCAACTTTGGCACTACCGACACTTTGGGCCAGATAATTCTCTGTTGTGAGTGGCTGTCCTGTACACTGTAGAATGCTTAACAGCATCCCCGGCCACTGCTCACTAGACACCAACAGCATTCCTCCAGTTGTGACAACCAGAGACATCACTGCCAAATGTCTACTGGTTGAAAACCACTGCTATATGCCAACTCACATGTGTAATCTTAAAACTCTGATCACAACTCATCAACTTTGGGAAACTACTAATTCTTCCTTTTGACACTAGACTTATCTATATTTGTTGTTTATAAGGACTTCATCTGATTTATTTCTTCCAACTTGACTATATATATCTTGATGGCAAAGGCAGTGTTATTCTTTTTAAAATATCCCCACCATATCTCATATAACATATTTTTAATAAAGTAATGTCATTATTAAGCCCCCCCCCAATACACACTGGTATATAAATAATGAAGAGTTAACCAGTAGTTAAATAATTGCATCAAAATCATAATGTTCTAAGTGAGGTTGTAAAAAGAACAATTAAAAATGGCATATCCAGATTATGAAGTTGGTGAGTAAATGAACCATTACATATCCCCCAAAGTGTGTAACTACTGATTCATAAATATAACTAATGAAACCTCATGATGTTTTATGTATATTTCTTTCTTAACAAAGGACTTGCCAGAAGAGATGATTTTAACTTAATTTTCCACAAAACTGACATTTTATAACATGATCAATTTTTCTGATTTTTTTATAGCTACTTCATCTGAAAATATATCATTTTACAAAAATAAAGGAAAACCTACCACATCGTGTGGATAAAATCGAACTGAGGTAGAACTGGATACGTGAGAATCCGTGTCACTAAAATGAATTGAAAAACACTTTAGGAATAAATAGTTTGTCAACTGTTAGAAAGAATACAAATTCTTTAACAATTAGATGCTATTTACACTGTCTTCATTTTTCCCTGGAAACTTCTAAATGCAAAATAGCATTTCCCTAGAGTTGTGATTAAGAGCAATAGCCAGTGGGTCAGAGTGCCTATATTCAAATCTCTTCTTCAAACGAATGAGATTCTTGGACAAGCTATCTAACCTCTTATACCTCAGTTTCCTCATCAGTAACATAAAATAATAGTATATATATCACAAGGTTCTTTAGCATTTAAATGAGATAATCCAAAGAAAGCAATTAACATTTGCCTGGAACCAGTAAATCCACAATAAATTTAAGCTATATTACAATAACCTATTCATAGCTATAAGGTCGCTATAGGGTTGCTATGAGTTCGAATCGACTCAATGGAAATGGGTTTTTTTCTTTTTTAGTAATAACCTAGGGAGCCCTGGTGGCACAGGGGTTAAGAGCTCAGCTGCTAACCAAAAGGTCGGCAGTTCAAATCCACCAGCCACTCCTTGGAAACCCTATGGGGCAGTTCTACTCTGTCCTATTGATCACTACCAGTCAGAATCGACTTGATTAAAAACTAACCTAGAGCATAACAGTCCAGCTTCCATTGGTCAGTTAAGTTTAGATTTCAAAAGCTGAAGACTTTAACCACATTTATGTATGGTGCAAGGAATTTTTCTTCTCTCTGAATTATATCAGATGTGATAATTAAGCCTTTCCATTCCCACATCCTCATATTGTTTCCACCAAAGTCCATTATAAAATCATATAACACTTGATCTAATAATTTTTTTGAAAGAAGGAATACTGAAACTTAACTAAAAGAGTTTAAAGAGTATAGTTTTCTGAATATTCTATCTTTAAGGAATACTGAGCTGAATGACTGCAAGATCCTTTTGCTTTAAATGGCTCCTCAAAACATAAAAAACTAAGTAAACTGCCTACAAAACTTTAACATTTAAAATGTGTCCTTTATTAAACTGAAGTGTTAAAATAAGAATCAAATGACCCTTGTGAAATAAATGAGCTAATAAAAAATGAGTATCAGAGCAGAAACTTCAAAAGATGAACACTAAGATTAAAAATTTAGAAAACTGTAACACATTTAACAATTACAACTGATTATGTTATATGATCAAAATTTCTAATTTCTTATTTGCTTTTCTCCTAACTTCTGCATTATCTTATGTAATTCCTTCTTAAGGGAAGGCAAGAAAACAAAGTAAATATAATAATAAAAAAATGCATATTTTAAGAAACTCCTCCTTCTCATCGCTGATAAAAAAAATTTCAAAACAAAATGAAAGTCTGGCTGATCATTTAAAAAGCAACTTTACCAAAACACTTAGGAGGAAATAAAATTTTAAAATTTTATAAAAAAGAGAACTAATAGATGGGTTTTAACTTCCATGTGCATGTATTTTTCTGATAAGCTTTCTTTATCAGTAATATATATTTTATGTCATATATACACATGGGTATATATATGACATAAAATACACTGTTAAATTTGAAATTGTGGAAAAACTGTCCCCCTATAAGACCTACAGGAAATTCTGATTATTTTGAACCACAGAATAGCTTTCATTTAAAAAAAAAAATAATGCTTTCTTTCTTCCACAACAAAAAAAGTTCTACTTTAATTCTTTGGGAAAAAATGCACTATGGTAAATTATTTAAGCCAATATGAACAAATGTTTTCAAAATAACTCTTATATTGCAAGCCTTCAAAATTTTAAACATGGCAAATATATGCACGTATACACACACTCCTAATATGACTTCAGACATACCAGATATTGGATGTTCTTCTTGCTGCTGGTTCAAAATTCACAAGTGACATATCACAGCCACCAGTCTCATAGAGCGTAGAAGAGAACTTACCTAGCAAATAAACGATGTTTTTAAAAAGCCATTAGAATACTTAGAATTTTTCCTTCATTACACACTAAATCTCATAGTTGTTACATATTTAAAAACTGTACTATAACCTCCTTTTCGAATATATTTTTACCACAGCAACCTGCCTGTAGTTCAGCTTGATGTGAATTGAAAAGGAATGATAGACAGTGGAATAAAATGTCAACATACATAATCAGATGTTAAAAGCACAAGATTTAAGTCAGCTTTGCAATACTAGTCTCATTTACTTCTCTCCTCTCAACACATTCTAAATTCAAGTAATCATATGAATGAATTTAATACTCTTTAAAAGTCACCTGACTACTAATGGCAAGTAGCCATTTGCAAAGCTGCTTAAATTTTAAGGTAGTTCAAACTATGAAATCAGACTGCAAAACAACCAAATTGTGTGCTTGCCTCTTGAGTTTTTTATTTTTAAGACAAAAGGTGTCAAAATGGATCTAAGGAACTGCGATAACTAAATGGGATATAATAATGTTGGTGATAATTAAATTATAGTATTTCATGAGTGTTACCAGTTATATGATTCTACTGTAACAACTTTATGAAAAATTTTAGGAAAAGTAATTGCTGCAACCAAATATTTCTATAAAACTACTAAAAGGTTTAGAAATTATATCGGTTGCAAATAATTACAGGTTAAAAAATAATTCTCTTAATATGAACTCCATAAGATAAAATGATTTCCAATAATAGAATTTAAAAAATCTGTATACTGCCTGAAATCCATTCTTCACTTTAAGGATCTATGTAGCCATATCAACGGTGGGGAGAGAGAATGAATAAGTGAACACAAATTTCCACTACGGCAATGAGATGAAGTATATAAACCCGTAAACATCTGGGTCCAGTCTAGGCAGCTTTTTGGGGATTTACAAGATAAACTGGAGTATGTATTATTTTGGGGTGGTAGGGGGGAAGTCAACTACAGAAAATAGCACAATAAAATTAGACATTTTACATATCCTATCTTATGACTCATAGACAGATACTCAAATAATTCTATCTAATAAAATGCTTTTTCTGGTTCTAGTCCTCATGAAACTGGTTGAAATGGTCTGTAAGCTCCTAGTTATATTATCAGTATATTACAGGGTCTTTTTTTTCTTTTTGTCATTTTTCAGATCTTTTACTCAAATAAAAATCCTTACTGTGAACTGTCTGCACTGTGGGCGTGGCAGAGAAATCTGACTTTAGCCCGGCCATCGAGTTGAAATTGTCCTCTAAAGTGTCTCATTTTTATACCCCAAAATAATATACTTCTGAGATGAACTGAAACCCTGGTGATGCAGTGGTTAAGAGCTCAGCTGCTAACCAAAAGGTCAGCAGTTCAAATCCACCAGCAGCTCCTTGGAAACCCTATGGGGCAGTTCTACTCTGTTCCATAGGGTCGTTACGAATCAGAGTCGACTTGACAGCAACAGGTTTGGATTTGGTTTTGGAGATAAATTAGAAAAAAGCACTTTGTGAAATGCTCAGTTCATTTGCTGTTTTTCAAGGGAGGATTATTCAGCATGTATCTAAGACTCTGCTTTTTTTCCCTATCTTAGCAGAGTGATTCACTCAATACCTCTAACAGGAACCAGATTAATGAACTAAAATGAACAGATATAAAGCTGTCAAACTGGCTACTTCTTACATCTATTACTGAAAGGTTTTTCACGACAGTAGAGGGGGTTACAGAAATTGTTAGTAAATAAAAAATTAAATACAAATAGTGGCTCAACTGAAATTTTAAAATATTCTTAAATCGTTATTGTTATGTTCTGCTCTTTCTTCATTTATCATTCATAATCAAAGACTGGCCGTGCTTTTAAATTTACATTAATAGAAAAAACATCTAATCAAAATCACTGATTGCATAAATGCAAAAGAATTATAAATCCATGTTAAATGACTAACTCACAGCATAACAAAGAGCTAGGAGGGCCTGGTTATTGAGCACGAAGTCCAAAAAGAATGAAATATATAAACTCAAGGGTTAATAAACACATAATTTGTATGTATTTTAGAAATAAGTTAATTCTATATTCAATAGGGTTTGAATTATTTCAGTATATTCTGAAATAATCTATGAGGGTTTTGTAATATAAATAAGTCCTGTTCTTGGTATACTGAAAATAATAAATATTTACATACAACTGAAATCAATTAAAGATACTAGTCTTTGTAATTTTCAAATGGAACAATAAAGGAATATTAAGTCATTATATTGTCTTTTATGCACAGATGCCTAGTATTAAACTTATATAGGAATTATTACATTTTAAATAAAAATAAAGCATGCCAAAAAAAGAAAAAAAAAGCTTTTCTAGGCAGAAAGAAAGCTGGAAAAGTTGGGTAGTCTTATTACTACATAAATTCTCCCATACAAAACAACGACTAACAAGTAATAAAATTTAGAAATATAAACAGGCACGAAATGTGCCTAAGAAAACGGCAGCTATGATTTTAACAGACGTGCATGACTTTGACAGTATTTTTTTTCTTAAGCATGTTTTTGTCTGCCTACTAAAACTTTAGGCATATCAGCACAGTCAGATTCTTAAAAATAACCCTGGCATTTGTCAGAACAAAACGACACTGTAGCAGAGCTTCATGGTATATTCCTAACTTAGCTCCACCCAAGGAACAGATTCTCTATGGCCCTTAAATCTTTGGGTTTGGCAATTGACAGTACTTCAGAAGTAACAAATTTTATTCAGAAAGTAAACAACTCAGAAAAAAAGTTATACTAAAAAATGTTTAGATTAAGGTTTTAGTAAAGAAGTTAATAACATTTTAATATAGTAATAGGATAATCTATTAAAGGCAGCTTCAAAAGTAACTAAAACAGAAATAAGTATATATTGTTATTGGTTTATAAACGTTAAAAATATCTAAATTGGACATGTCTTCTTAGCATACATAGCAATTTTATGTATGTCTCATTTAAAATTAAAACCATAGTCATTTTTAACCTTTAGTGCCAAAATAAAATCTGCTCTTATTAATAACCACATTCTAATATTAGTCTGGATTAAGAAAAACACTTCAATTTAAATATCGTTTTTATGAATATAAACCATGGAGAAAGTTGCACATTAATGAAACGTGTTCTCATCACATGAATTTTGATCACAAACTAAGCCATCTCATCATAATTCAACTTCCACATCATAATTAATTATATTTAATAGAATGGCACTGTCATGATTTAAGAAAATCAGTTTGTGACAAAACAAACAAGACTGAAAGTTGGAATTTCAGACTTATAATGATATTGGTCATGAGACAGCATCTCCAAAGATTAAAAAAAAAAAGGTTTTTAGCATCTCTCAGTTTTGAATACTCAACCATGACTGCTATTTTCTACCAAAATTAAATATATTACACGCAACGTTTTTTTTTTGGTAGGGAAATTTCAAAGTAATAACCATAGTCAATAAATAAAAAAGGAGCAACAGGAAGATGAATAAAGTTGGATACTGACTTAAAGATCAAGTACAACTGAGGCATTGCCAGAAACCTTGAAGACTGCTGCGGAAAACTCAAAAGACACACTGCCAAACGCTGACAAAAGGATGTGAAATCAATGTGATGCTCTGATTTGTCCTATGTCTCACCACGTGACACATAATAAGGGCATAAAGAATTATAATAATAGTACTGCGTTCTTGAAGCCATTCTCATTTTTCTGAAGATTCCTATTATCTTGGACGGAGGCAGTTACTAGGGAGCAAGGCTTCCAATAGTTGGAAATGGTTTGCATTTCCACCCCAGATATACTGAATCAGAATCTACATTTTAATGAGGTCCCCTGGTGATTCTTATATATAATAAATTTTGAGAACCACTGCTCTACTAGTGGTTTTCAGAATTGGTCCTAACCAGCAGCTTTAGCATCACCTTGGAAGTTGTTAGAAATGCAAGTTCTCAGCAGGGGTTCAAACCTGAACGAACCAGTTCAAAGCCCGCTAGAGCCGTGGGACAAAGCATCTGTAGGGTTTTTCTAATCTTCCCCTCCACCCAATTCCTTGGATGACTTTCTTTTTTGACTCCTCTCCTCTGATTCATTCTGTGTCCTCTAACTCTACTCCTGACTTGCTTTTACCTGACTTTCCACTTTTCCAGTATTACTGTTGGAACAGGGACAGGATGAAAGGCCAAAGAGATACATGGGAGGAAGGTTTTTAAAGTGGCTTTTTTTGGAAGATGTTGGAGGACCACACATATCTATATAACTAATTTAAGCATGCAAATAATAAGCGTAAAAAGTCTCTATTTCTGATGGTGATGAGATCTCAGTGAATAAACTAATAGACTTTTACGAGAGAAGGTTTTTAAGATCAGTTCTAATTTCTTGGATAGTACCCCTCTTACGATCATGAGTGGCAACTCTGAGTTTCTGAGCTAACATCATGAGTTTTCATCCAGACAAAAATGACTCACTTTATTGCTATTTACACACGAATAGAATTGTTTCTCCCTAGACTTGGGATCAGCAAACTTCTTCTGTAAAAGGCCAGATAGCAAATATTTTAGGCTTTGTGGGCCAGGTGGTCTCTGTTGCAACAATTGAAGTCTGCCAGCATAGCACGAAAGCAGCACTGTAAAACACATGAATGAATGGGCACGTCTGTGTTCCAATAAGACTTCAGTTACAGAAACAAGCAGAGCTACATTTAGCCCGCAGGCCTGTAGTTTACCAACCTCTATCTTAGATCAACAGCTTTAGGCTTTTAGAACCTCCTTAACTCTCTTGTGATACAATGAATTTCAAGCCACTATGCTGCTTGTAATTTCAAGTTTCCTATTTAGAATCAGTCCATTTTCCTGGAATGTACAACACTGCTCTAGGTTTTAAAACAGGATAAGAATAAGGAAAAGAGTAGGTATGAGAAGAGATTAGTTTAGAAGAAAGCTTAAGGGAATGGTAAGGAAAGACTGGTGTGTCTATTGCTTGGCAACAACATAAGACA